AAGGACAATGCTATAAGCTTAACATCAGATTGATCTTTGTTACAGAAGTTTAAAAGTTTGTAGCCAGCTCTTGGACATAAATTCTATAGGAAGTCCTTCTCTTATTACTTCTGGCATAAAAGTTACTTGCTTAAAGGTGTTGGAAGCTTTCTTTCCCCCTCAAGAATTTAGCAGCTGGTTGCCTTTAACATTTTGCTGTGCCAATCCCAATTTGCAGCTAGAGTTATTTTACCGACTGATAAGAAAGAAACACAGTTGTTCTTGTTTCACCACATAAAAAGATAACAACTGTTGAGTTAAGATATTTTTATGCCTCTTGTGAGCTTAGCTTTTTCTCCTAATCTTGGAAAGCAGCTTTATGTTTTGTTTGCTTTTTCTAATCCAGTGTGACTTAGTATACACTATTGTATGCTTAGAATTTGTTATCTTTAAAAATAAAATTATTTCCTATCCACTTTAATTAACTGAAAACACCCTTCTAAAGGAAAGCTATGACTACTACAGACTAAATAAAGCCCATTTCTCCTTAAAAATCGGATTCCAGATACTTTGAAAAAGTATTTTGTAGCTTTCCTTTATCCTTTGCTTTCTTTAACACTGAGAAATTTATAGTTAAAAACATAGCACCTCTAGGCTGGAACTTATGACTATTACATCTGGCTTTTTAAAATATCCTCTTCTAACATAGCTTGAATTTGATAGTAATTTTTGACTGATTAAATAATAGACAATAATGTAGGCTTTAATTGTGTAAGTTTTTGTTCCTGGCTGGGAAAATCATTAGAAGAATCTGTAAAGAAATGTTACATACTTTGTAAAATTAAAATTTCTGTTCTTTACTATCAGTAAGGCTAGTATATCTGTTATTAATTTGGAAGTATTTTTATGTTGGTGCTTGAAAAGTAGGTATGATGCAAACCTCAAAGCTTTTTTCATCTTTATTTTTTCCCATCCTTAATTTACTAGGCTACATTTCCCATAATGACAGGAAGATGATTTGGAATGATTAAGTGTTAATATTTAATAGCATTACTTAGTTGTAAAGACCTGTATGGACACTGGCTGCTGTATCCTGAAAACTAGAATTGTAAACACAGTACTGAGGTTGAACCTGTTGGGTGGAACAAAACTCAATTCAAGTTTTGTATTACATTAGTGGAATAGCTTTAAATGCTCTTTTAGGCTTCTATGAGTTGCTTACTATCCAACAATTTAATTAACATACTTGAGAGAACCTCTACAATTACTTCTGGGCATATAGAATGTGATGCACTGTTGCTGCTTTTCTGTTAAAGGCAAAGGTTTTGTCTTACATACAAAATCAGATGTGCATTTAATAGTTATTAATTGGAAGTTAAACTGTATTTTGTTTTCCAAGGTGGTTAAACAGGATGGTTCAAAGGGAATTGCGCACATTTACTTGTTCACTCCAGAGGACTTCCCAGATGTGGATCGTAGTGTCAATCGACAGATCAAAAATGCAGACTTGTGGAAGCATCAAAAAGATGTTTTCTTGAGTGCTGCAGCCAGTAGGACTAGCTCCATGAAAGTGACAAGTGATGCTGTTTCACAGTCAACTAGTGGAAGGCTAGAGAAGAGTTCATCTGATCCAGCCAAAGAACCCAGCAGTACAGTGTCTACCATTGATATGCCTCCACCTCTACCCTTGTCAAAGACTGGTGAGCTCATGGATGTCTATGTCTCAGTGGCATGTCATCCAGGTCACTTTATTGTCCAGCCTTGGAACGACCTACTTAAACTGGAAGCTCTAATGGAAGAAATGATCTTGTACTACAGCAGGGCAGAGGAGAAATCTGTGAACATCGAAAAAAACAAGATTTATGCAGCTAAAATTGAAAATCAGTAAGTAAATTCTTAAACTGAGAGCAAAATCTTTGAAGGCAAGCTTAGCTCTGCTAAGCTAGGAAGACTAGCTCTATTTCTCTGCATTTTTAGCAAGGTGTCCAATGACAGAGATTCAGGGAGCAGCTGAATTTGCAGTCTCTTCAAGCTTCCAGACTGTAGTTGAAAAAGCTGACTTCTGTTTGGATAATCCCAGATCTGAGACATGTTGGTTAAGATCTTTTGGTCGTGTATTATATTTTTCTGATGCTTTGACAGTTTGGGAATAGGAATTCAAAATGTCTGTTCTTGTTCTCCCCCTTTATAGGTGGTACAGGGTCCTTGTGAAAGGAATTCTTAGAAATGGGTTTTTGTCAGTGTATGAGCTGGACTACGGTAAACATGAATTTGTCAGCATAGAGAAAGTACAGCCACTCGTGGATATGTTTAGAAAACTACCTTTCCAAGCTATAACAGCTCAGCTTGCAGGTAGGTAGTAAGCATTTACATATATTTTTTTTAAGTCTTAACATCAGGGGGGGATACCAAATGAATAGAAATGTAAAGTGGATAAAGCCAGAGGTTAGTGATGTAATTATATTTTGCTAAAGTAAGCATTTACTTGCTCACAAAAACATTCTTAATGTATGCATGTTAACGTCATCAAAGTAGTTCTTCTCTTCTTGACTAGGTAGTGATGGTTCTGTGTAATTACTTGTTTGTTTGTCTTAATGCAGCACTTTTAGTTGCGTTGGATAAAACTGAAGATTGCTTAAACTTTCCCAGCAGCTGTTTTTCTTTGTCTTAAGTATCTATTGTTTAATGTGTGTGATATCTAATAAGCAAAAGACACAGTGAAATCAAAATGAAATTGTGTTTAAATCCTTAAACATAACCCATTATGAAGTATGAATGTTATGATATATCTGTTGCTAAGAACTTGCATTCTTATTATCCAAATCTACAGAAAGTTAGAAGCTAGATACTGAGTTTCTGGAGAAGATGTTCTTACGAATCTTGCCCTTACTATAATTTACTGTTTTCCAGTGCACATTTGGAATCCATAGTTGCCTGAAATATATTGGTGTATTCAAACAAACAAACAAAACTCCACAAGGGGGTTGGGGGCTTTCAACAGACTTAATTGAGACTAATTTCCTTGAGAATATAGGGCATAGAGAGCATGCATACATCTGTTAAAAAAAAACAAAACCAACAAACCAAACAACAAAAACAAAATTTCATCTCTCCTTTCAGTCTTTTCTTCCCTTTTCCAAATTTTTCTTTCATTTTTGCATTGCTTTCAGATGTGCATGCCTCTCCGTATTCAGTTGCTGCTTTCTGCAGCTGTTTGGTCAGGACTAGTCGAGACACAGAATATGTTTGAACTGACAGGCCACAGAGTTGGTGCTCTGATCCTGGGTTGCCTTGAATCTGCTTTCCTGAAGTGTGACCTTGGGTGTTGCTTTAAACTAGTGGTGATGGATGTGTTACCAACTGGCTGGAGTCCTAGGAGTACAGTGCTGAAATGAAGCTGATTTCTAGCTTTGTCTGTCTACTGGGGTAGTACAGAATCCAGCTGAGCAAGCCTGCAAGTCATCTAATTTTCCTGCTTCACAGAATCCCAAGTAGCTAGTTAAGTTGGCCTTTGAGCTGCTTCATATTGTCAGAGCAGGCCAGCTGGGCCCAGAAGACCGGTAACTATTGTCTTGCTATTCTTTCACTTTTCCTCTGTTTTCTTCATGGCTGCTGTCTCTTAGTCTCTCGTCTATTTCCTTGTAAAATCTCACTTGCTTTCCCACCAGTCTTTCCTAGCATTAATTATCCTTTCTTAGCTGTGGATGAACTGCTGATTTCTCATTCCTTCTGTAACCTGCAAGAAGCTGTGTTCCTGTGTTGTTATGTCCTATCAGCAGCAAGCTGCTGCTTATAGTAAAAGCAAAGTGTTGCCACTTTGCTGTTTTGCTTCTTGTATTCCTAAGTTGTTGTCTGGGTATTCATGCACAGTATTTGAGCCCGTTGTGTCTAGAGGCTGTACACCAGCAGTGGTCTGGGGAGACTGTCTTCCAAGTCTGCAGGAGCCACTTCCTCTGTGTGAACTATAGCCATATTCAAAAACCTGTTTGGGTTCTAGTATCACATCCCTGAGCAGACCTGACTTTGTGGGGTGCTGCTGTCAAAAAAATAGCGCAAGTTGGGAAGCATTTAGGTGGCATTTCTCTTAATTTCTGCTCTCTGCAGATCTAGTTTGGGTCTTCAAGTTTTGGCAGATGTTTTAGTAGCTGATGCTACTTAGAGATGAAGAAAACTTTACCTAAAGCAAGGCCAACAGCATAAATAATGTCTGCAACTTCAGGCAGAAGACATAGTTTGTTTTGAAAGGATCTTCAGTTTCCGTTTTGTCATGTTTCCTAATATGCCTTGATCATGCATGGCAGCCTGATACTTGGAATTACTCAGTGAGTCAGTGCATTTCCCTTTAACTTCTGTAAACTTGTCCATATATTTAGACTTAAAGAAAAATTTCCTAGTCTCTGTAAGAATTATGCTTGTGTGGGAAGAGAGTGAGCTTGTGTTTCTTTTTTAGAGTTAACGCTGCATTCAGTAGCACTTGAACATCTGTTTTATCACGTATTTCAACTCTCTTCTTTATAAGTGTAATCATTCAGATTGGTCTAATCTATAAGTGACCTTCTGTTTTGCTTACATTTGTCCTAGGGGTGGAAAGCCAGCAGTGGTCAGAAGAGGCATCGATAGTGTTTCGGAATCTTGTAGAGAAGAAGGCCTTGGTGGCACACATACAGGCAGTTATTGAAAGCACTAACTCTTGGGATCGAAAAATAGTGACTTTTCTCGTGGACACATCTCTTCCCGATACTGATATATGGATCCATGATTTTGTATCTCAAAGCCTTGTGGAATTTTCAAAGGATGATTAATCACCACTTCTGAAATGTAGCAGCTCAGATTCTTTAGCAATAATACAAGTAGCAAGCTTTGAAGAAAAATATATTACTACTACATGGCCTTGAAGAAAATAAAGGGGATAAAACTGAAAAATCTGTGTTCTGTGAAAATGGTTTAACTAGTTTGGGGTCTTTTGACTTCAGTTGACTTTTGAAAATTTGCACTTTGTTTACCACTGTAATGCTAGAATGTTTGGGTTAAGATATTAAAAAAGTTATTTATCAACAAAAAAATGTTGACTTTTGTTCTTGTGATCTTT